GCAAGTAGGGTCATTCGTGGGTTGGCCCACAAGTCATAGACGTATTATGGATAGAAGCATGATAGACACAACGGAGAGTTTAGCTGATTGGCTAACAATAGACGTATTTGATCATAAATGTGGTCAATGAAGCAAAGGCTCGACGATGAGACTTACTCGGGATTTATAGCCTCAAGTTAGTCTCCCATCAAGCTTGAGAATCCAGGTTTTGTCAGCCTACTCAGTGAGGCGAAAGTATACGTGCCCCCAAATGCTTGAGGTAGAGTATGGGAAATAACGCCTCGAGTAAAGCAGATAGGGTGGCAGGGGTCAAGTTAAATACCTGACCCAGGAGATAGGAATGGATCCTACGGGGCAAGAAGGAGACTCTGAAAGGACTTAGGGGAAGAGGATTGCAGAATAATATTGCAACGCTCCCAGCAAAATGGTAGGGGGGTGGGGTGTGAAGCTACGGAAGTAGATAAGCTAAAATAAAAAAATACACATCGTGAAAGCGAATAGTAAATCCAAAAATAAGAATTTCCAGAGCAAATGGATTAAGGCAAAAATCTATCAAAGATTATTCAAGTTAAGTAGGTTTTCGAGACCATCAGAAAGTGTTAAATAAGAGTTCTGGTCCCCCCAGGTAGAATAATTTGATGAAGAACTAATAGTTGAATTTTTCCAGTGATATTTGCAACAAGGACATGTGAAATAATTTATGAGACCTATGAACACCTGAATTCCTAGCATATCTAACTTACTAGTTTAATTGAGTGATCGGCAATTGTGACTACCGGCCTGTTAGAAACTTGACGTTCAATTTCATAAGGTTGCTGAGATACAGCAAAGTTTGATTGTAGAGGTCCAACCGAGGAAAAAGACTTCAGCTGAGCTTCTTGAGACATAATAGTGGTCGGATGATCTGGATCTATAACTAAATTTATCCCTATTTTGGGAGCCAACTGTTCACCTCCATTGTGTACACCTCGATTTTGATTTTTTTCCTCACTGCCAGCAACCCCGAATTCTTCACAAGTTTCTGACCCGATGGGCACATCCGATAAAGGCCAAGCCTGTGAGTCTATTATAGGAAGACTGCAGTAGCTCTCCTGTCGAGCACCTAGAGTAAAAAAGTAAAATAATGGAGTTATTACTTCACCAAACAATAAGTAGACCTTAAATAAGAGGGCCGGCCACCTTAGGTGGGTTAAGCTTATTTAAAGATTAATAGTAGCATTTCCCGAAATCAAATGAATAAGTCTCACGAAGTTGTTGAAATCCCTATAGCATTGCCTGTCAAAAAATGAAGTTGAGTTTGGCCTTGTCTAGATTCTTTTAGCAACCGCAACAGGATTCGAACCTGGCTATTGCTCATGAAGTTGCAACAAGTTACCAATCCGCCAGAGAGGGTAATAAGAGGGATGAGACTTTAAAAGTAGGTCTAAGCCACTTCTAGATAATTTTTTGTGCCGAC